GTTCATTATAAAAATATAATTGTATTTATTTTGTTGTTCTTGAGAATATGCACAAAACAACCAATTCAACACTTTCCATTATTGACACTGATTATTGCCATTATTGACACTGATTATTGTTTGCATTGTGTAACCATTCTTATCCTCCTTTTCTGAGTTGGCACTCCTCCATTAACATCAATTCACTACCTCTAAGGTTCCTATCTAGGAGGTCTGGTGCTATAGTGTTACACATTGGGCTGCCAACTGAGAAGTATGCAGTTTTAATACACCAGCTGCTCCAAGGGAGAAAGATGAGGTTTTCTGATCCCATAAAGGTTTACAGCCTCAGAAACTTTATACAGGGTCACTATGAATTGGAACCACCTTGATGGCACACAACCACCATCTCCACTAAGGTTCTTATCTAATCGTTTGAGTTGGTGATATACATTTAGTCCCATGTACAGGATTCTTTAAGGAGCTCTGGTAGCATAGTGGTTATGAATTGGGTTGCTAATCTCATGGTCAGCAGTTCGAAACTACCAGCTGTTCTGAGGGAGAAAGATGAGGCTTTCTGCTCCCATAAAGATTTACAGCCTCTGAAATCCTATGCAGGGTCGCTATGAGTTGGAACCAATTCCACGGCACCTAACAACAACACAACAACAACACAGGGCCTTTTAAGGAGCTCTGGTAGTGTAGTGGTTATGAATTGGGCTGCTAACCTCAAGGTCAGCAGTTTGAAACTACCAGCCATTCTGCGGGAGAAAGATGAGGCTTTCTGCTCCCATAAAGATTTACAACCCCAGAAACCCTGCACAGCCTCACTATGAGTCAGAACTGACTCCACAGCACATGACCACCACCACCACCACATGGTTCTTTAAAGAGCATAATGTTCAAGATAGGCATTTTTTACTAGTTAAATAAATTGTTGTTTAATTTTAAGAAGACTTCAGGGGATATATATATTTTTTGAGTTTTAATCATTATCTTCAGGGATTCATCCAACCTTCACGACTCCAGGAAATATGAAGTTCATCAGAATGTGAAATTCTGTTCTATATTTCCCCCCTCAGAATTCTTCTATGGATGAAATGTTCAGTAATGGTAATCAGGTATCATCCAATTCTTCTGGTCTCATGGCAAAGAAGGCAGTTTTTTCATGGAGGAGTTGGTTCCGACTCAGTAACTCTGTATAGGGTTTCCGAGGAGCAGCTGATGAGTTAGAACTGCTGACCTTGTGGTCCAGTGTTTATCTTACAGCGCCAGGACTCCTGGAAGATAGCACTCTTATCCTCTTAATCCTGATTCCTGTCAATCCTGATTCATTCAGACAAGTGGAGACCAATTGTGTCTTGGATGGAAGTTTAGGAGACCCCAGGCACCATGTATCTAGCTAGGAGTTAAAATAGAGGTGGTGGTGGTGCTGGTGCTGGTTATGTGCCACCAACTTGGTTCTGATTCATAGTGATCCGGTATAGGGTTTCCGAGCTATAAATCTTTATGGGAGCAGAAAGTCTTATGTTTCTTCTGTGGAGTAACTGGTAGATTCAAACTACTGACCTTGAAGTTAGCAGTCCAGTTCATAATCCACTATGCTCCTTAAAAATAGATATTGAACAGCCCAAAATGTGTTATTAGGTCAATTAACTGAAACCATAACTACACAGTTCATTTTTAAAATTCATCTCTTCTCCAACTTTACTACAAGCATCAAGGAGAAACCGCATGATCCCTTTATGATTTTGCTTAGAAATCTCCTTAGGGAAATAGCCAAATTCATCACTTACAAGTGCCACCAAACATTTTAGCATCATTCAGGTAAGTCCTTTGCCACTGCATAAACAAAAAGCATTGCCTGTCCTCGATTGTCTAATTACATATTCATTTTCTTTTTTAAAACCGCAGCATAAGCACATTGAACATTCCACATGCTTAGTAACATTTTCTATTCTATAAATGACAGAGACTTTCTCTATGGCTCTCGTTACTTTTTTCTGGGCCCTCACCAGAATTGTCTTTGATGGTCATAATTCTACCAATAATTTCTTCAAGGCAATCTAGCATCTGAAAATGGTCCAGCCTCTAAATACACAAAATCAAACCCACTGCTGTTGAATTGATTCTGACTCATACTGACCCTCCACTTTTCTAAGCATATTTTTTGGGGTGGGGGAACATAATTCACTCCATAGCTGTGGGCATTCCAAAGTGCTTTCAATATTCATAGCCAATACAATTCAAATGCATGGAGTCTTCTCAGGTCTTCCTTATGACCCTATAGGGCAGAGTAGAACTGCTCCATAGGGCTTCTGAGACTATATGAAGCAGACTGTCTTATTTTTTCCCCATGGGGTGACTGGTAGGTTTGAACTACCAATTAGCAGCCCAATGCTTAGCCCGTGGCACCACCAGGGATCTTTTATATCTCAATATAGATGGACTTAAAACACATCCTACACTAATCCTGTCTCATGAACCAAACCCCAATCCCAAGCAGAAAGATAACCACAGATCTGCTGTACTTAGTGCTGACTCATAGTAACCCTGTATAGGGTTTTCAAGGAGCGACTGGTGGGTTTGAACTGCTGACCTTGCAGTTGGCACTCCAGTGTGTATTCACACCAGAATTCTAACCACAGGAGTTAGGATTTACAACACATATTTTTGCGGGGGACACATTCATTCCATAACTAGCATTGATCCTATACAGGGTGATTTTGAAGATTGCTCATAATGGAGGGGAAGGTAAGCTGGAAGATAAACCAGAGAATAGTATTCAGTCATCAGGAACAGATAAAATTTTGATTGTTCTTAGCATCAAGTCAGTTATGACTCATAGCGACCCTATGCGCAACAATGAAACACTACCCCACCCTGTGCTACTCTCATAACTGTTATGTTTGAACCATTGTTGCAGTAACTGTCCCGATCCATCTTGTTGGGGTCTTCCTCTTTTTTGGTGACCCTCCACTTTCTCCAGGGACTGATCCTTCCTGACAACAAGTCTAAAGTACGTGTGAAGTCTTAGCATCCTTCCTTCTAAGGAGCACTCTCGCTGTACTTCTTTCAAGCCAGATTTACTTGTTCTGTTGGCATTCCATGGTACTTTCAATATTTCTCGCCAATGCAATTCAAATGTATCAATTCTTCCAAGGTCTTCCTTATTCATTGTCCAACTTTCACATGCATATGAGGTGATTGAAAATACCATAGCTTGGGTCAGGTGCACCTTGGTTCTTAAAGTGACATTTTTGTTCTTGAATACTTTAAAGAGGTCTTTTGCAGCAGATTTGCCAAATGTAATGCATTGATGAAATCATTAAAACCAGAGCTCTTCTGCCAGGCATGGGCTTGATACACGTACAATTTTGCCTACACACTCTCTCAAGTAACTATCTTTTGTTCACACTTGTGAAAAGCATACCCTTTAATTTAAGGTGGTGCAAAGGCAGATTGCAGCTAAGTATATAGATAATTATAATTAAGTTTGAAAGTCCCTGAGTGGAGCAAATGGTTAAACACTTGACTGAAAAAACTAGCTGAAAGTTTGGTGGTTCAGACTCACCCAGAGAGGTCTCATAAGGAAGGCCTTGCTCTCTGTATTTTTCTATAGATCACAGCTTATTGAAAACCCAATAGAACCTGGTTCTGCTCTGCACACACAAAGTCGCCATTGAGTCACAATCAGCTCAATGGCAATTTGTAACAACAACAGTGAATTTGTTGCAAAATTCACATGAATGATGCTTATTCTAGAGTTCAGTCATTAAACACATGTGTAATATTGAATGTCGAAGGACTAGAAGACTGCTTTGTTACATATTAATAGATATTGAGTAAAAATTCTCTAGGTTCCTTCATTTTACTGACCTCCTTTTTGCATTTTCCTCTCTGCTAAGTTCTCCTATCTTCCATAGGCCACATTGCTGCTGATGTGTGGGAGTGGCAGTGACAAGGAGAGATGGGGAACTTTGCTTTTAGGAGAAACGGGAAAATAGAAACAATCTCAGTTGGTTGGGCAGGGAGAGATATAATAGGGTACAGTACTTGCCCTTGAGAGTTAAGACTTGCAAATGTCTAAATTCTTAACAGAGTCTGAATAAGGTGTTTCTTGTCTGGAAAACTTGGTTTCATTTTGGAGTATCTTTTCTACTGCTTCAGCTGTGGTTGTTGTTGTTGTTGTTAAGTGCCATCGAATCGGTTCCAACCCATAGTGACCCTGTACAGGGTTTCTGAAGCTATAAATCTTTATGGGAGCAGAATGCCTCATCTTTCTCCCACAGAGCGGCTGGTAGTTTCGAACTGCTGTCCTTAAGGTTCGCAGCCCAATTCGTAACCATTATGCTACCAGAACTCCTGGTGTGGCACTGCGGGTTAATGCACTGGACAGCAAGGTCAGTTTGAACCGCAGTGGTGATAGTTCAAGCTTACCAGCCGCTTCTTGAAAATAGCATTGAACAAAACAACAGTCCAACTGTGGTACTGCGGGTTAATGTGCTGGACAGCTAAATTGGTTTGGATAGCAAGGTCGGCGATTCAAGCTCACCAACTGTTCCTAGGAAACCCTATATAGGGTCTCTATGAGTTGAAACTGACTTGACGGCATTTAACAGCAACAACAAAACAAAGACCAAAAAGACCCAAACCCATTGTTGCCCAATATAATCTGAGATTCTGATTCTGTGTGTTGTGCAGTAGAATTGTCCCATAGGGTTTCCTTACTGTGGTCTTTACAGAAGCAACTGGCCAGACCTGGATGAGATCAGCCTTTCGGCCAGTAATTCAGCACAAATTGTCTGCACCACTTCAGGAGCGTCACAGCCTCACCATTCACTCCATGTTTAGTGGGAGCAAGTCAAGTCCTGGTAACTTCATCACTCAGTGAATGAGGCAGGAGAGCAGAGGGATGCTGCTTTGGGATGCTAAAAGTCCCAGCGACTCATACTCTAAGAAAATGTAGAAGTGGCAAAGATAGGTTTAGAGATTAATTCTGTTACTTCTGCTTTTTTCAGTGATCACTGGAGCCGGAGATGGAATTGGAAAAGCTTATTCATTTGAGGTAAATTGTTTTCTCAGAGACTTGCACTTTCCTTGTACTGGACACATCATAGAAATCAAAACATCTATTTCCCCAGTGAGGATTCTGATTAGAAAAGTAATATACATTCATTGTAAGAAAAAAAATTTTTTTCAATTAAAAAAAAAGAAAAATTTATATCATAATCTCACCCCTACTACACTAACTTTTTAATATATTGTTCAGCTTTCAATGCATATGAGGACATTGAAAATGTGGGTCAGGTGCACCTTTGTGTAAAGTGACATCTTTTTACACTTCAAAGAGATCCCTAGCAGCAGATTTGCCTAATGCAATATTTGCCCAAAGAAATCCTTTGATTTTGTTATGAAGGTTTGCAAAACAAATCAATCTTGCATTCAACAATTCACACACATTTTGTTTTGCATCATTTGCAATCCCCACAATGCAACATCACTCATCCCACTTCTGCTCTGTGCTTTCTGTTTCCATTCCTCCTTCTTTCCTAACCCTTCCTGCCTTCTGAACTTTGTCTTTGGGCAAGTGCTGCCCTTTGATCTCGAATGGTTGGTCGTCCTAAGGAGTGTGTACTTCCCTAGTGCTACTTTATAGACCTATCTGGTATTTGACTGTGGCTTTATAGGCTAAGCACTGGACTGCGAACCAGTGGTTCAAGCCCATCAGCCACTCCACAAGAGAAAGATGAGACTTTCTTCTCCTGCAAAGATTTACAAACCTCCAAAACCCTATATCGGGCTGCTATGAGTCGGGACCAACTTCACAGCACTTCACAACAATAATTGTTGGGCTGAAAGTTAGCTAGCCATGATATATTCTCCCCCTATTCTTGATTCTTCTTCCTCTGTTGCTCCAGATAAATAGTTTTTAAGACCCCAGGCATTATGCACTGAACTAGGAGATAGAACAGAAGCATTAAACATGTTACTGTAATAAACATACCAATCAACGGGGATGTCTAAATGAAACCATGACTATAAACCTAGGAATCAAATCCCATGAGGTGTCTGTGTATACAAAAGCAACCTTCTTCAATTCCCTTATTGTTATTATTATTATTTTGTAAATATATCACAAGGAGTCCTGGTGGCACTGTAGGGTAAGCCCTGGATTGCTAACCACAAGGTCAGCAGTTCAAACCTACCAGCGGCTATGAAGGAGAAAAATGAGGCTATATGGTCCTGTAAGGATTTACAGTCTCTGAAACCCTGTATATGAATCGACAAGATGGCAGCTGGCTTTTGAGATGTTTGTCACCCACCTTTTGCTAATTCAACTTCTTATAGGTGTACAGTAATAATAATATTCAGCTACCCTTAAGACAATATGAGTTTTCCATCACTGTTAACCTCCTTCTTTCCCATGCTTGGTAATTCCTAATGAACTTTGGTCTCTATACATCTGCTTTTGTTATGTTTTTGCATAAATAAAATCATACAATGCTTGGATTTTAGTGACTGGGTTATTTTGTTCAGCATAATGTCTTCAAGCTCCATCCATACATACATCCATGCATAGATCAAGATTTGGTTTCTCTTACTGGCTGAGTCCTAGTAGGATAAGCACTGTACTGCTAACCACAATGTTGGTGGTTCAATCCTACCAGCTGCTCTTCGGAAATCCTATACAGGACCACTATAAGTCAGACTTGACTCGACAGCAGTTAACAACAAAAACTGGCTGAATAGTAATCTATAATATGCGTACCATATTTTGTTTATTCAGCCATCTGTTGATGGACATTTGTTTCCACCTTTTGGGTATTGTGAATAGTGCTGCGATGAATATTGGTATACAGTCTCTTTTTGAGTCTCTGCTTTCAAGACTTTGAAGGTATATGCCTAAAAATGGAATTGCTGGGGCACATGGCTGTGTTTTGAGGAACCACCACACTATTTTCCAGGTATACTATTTTGCATTCTCACAAGCAATAGGTAAGGGTTTCAATTTCCTCACATCTTTGCTATCATTTGTTGTTTTCTGTATTATTATTATTTTTTAAGTCTTAGCCATCTTGTTATTGTTGTTGTTATGTGCTGTGGAGTTGGTTCCGACTCATAGTGACACTGCACA